ATTGAAAATTCATTAAATTCCCTGAGAAAAGAATGTTTTTTGTTCGTAAAATGTGCACAATTGTCACAAAATAAATTAACAACAAGTTGAATGAAAATAATAATAATAATAATATTGAGTTATAACGTTTTCAATCATTATGACACTGCCCCCACAATAATTTACAAGTTCCCTTATATTCACTATAATTTTTTTAGCTTTTCTTAAAACACAGTTTTTGCTTAAACAATTTGTTAAGTAAATATGAAAAATAAAAAAGATTATGTAAATTTTTTGTAAAAAAGAAAAATATTAAAAATTACTTATTCTTAATAAAATTTATTATGAATTTTAGAAGAAATCTTTTGACAAATCATATTATAATCGCCCCTCAACATCATGACAGTTATATTTAATATTCTGTGTGTGTGCTTTGTATGGAGTGATTTTGAAATTAAAGAAAAAAATTTCAACAGATTTTTAAATTTTGATAATGAATGAAACGGAATGCATATTCAGAATGCAACAGATTCTGTATGTAAAAGGGAGTGTGGTTAAGCATTTTTTTAGTTGAAGCCAAAAAAAAAACATCAGTGTGATAGAGTAGAGTCTATAGTCTGGACTATAGTAGAGTATATAGTCCTGAATATAATCGTGTATAGTCGAGTCTTTATTACAGTCGAGTATGTATTCTGGACTATTGTCGATTCTATAGTCTGGACCATAGTCGAGTCTTAATTCTAGACTGTAGTCCAATTTATAATGTGGACTGTAGTCGTGTCTATATTCAGGCCTATAGTCGATTCTATAGTTTAGACTATAATGGAGACTTGACTATGGTCGAGATGTTATTTAGCCTATAATGTAGACTATAGTAGTTCCAACTGTCAAGAATATAGTTGAGTCTATAATAAAGTTTTGACTATAGTCAAGACACTATATATAGTGGACCATAATAACTTGGACTATAGTCGAGACTATAATCTGGACTATAGACGAGTTTATAGACTGGACCACAGTCAAGTCCATAGTCTTCACAGTAAGGACTAAAACCAAATCTATTCTGCACTACAGTCAAGTCTATAGTTTTGACTATAGTCGTGAACTACAGTAATTAATCAAGTATATAGTCTGGACTATAGTCGAGTCTATAATCTGTACTATGTATAGTCGAGTATATAGTCTGGACTGTAGTCGAATCTATATTCTGGACTGTAGTCGAGTCCATAGTGTGGTCTAAAGTCGAGTCTATAGTCTAGAATATAGTCGAGTCTATGGTCTAGACTATTGTCGAGTCCAAAGTCTAGATTATAGTGGAGCCTATAGTCTGGACTATTGTCGGGTCTGTAGTCTGGACTATTGTCCAGTCTATACACTGGACCAGACTGTAGTCTGGACCTTAGTCTGGTCTATAGTCTAGACAATAGTCGAGTCTATAGTCTGGACGAGTCTATAGTTTGAACTATAGTCGAGTCTATAGTCTGGACTATAGTCGAGTCCATAGTCTGGACTATAGTCAAGTCTATAGTCTGGACTCTAGTCGAGTCTATAGTCTGGACTATTGTCGAGTATATAATCTGACTATAGTCGAGTCTATAGCCTGGACTATAGTCGGGTCTATAGTCTGGACTATAGTCGGGTCTATAGTCTGGACTATAGTCGGTTCTATAGTCTGGACTATAGTCGGTTCTATAGTCTGCACTATAGTCGGGTCTATAGTCTGGACTATAGTCGGGTCTATAGTGTGGACTATAGTCGGGTCTATAGTCTGGACTATAGTCGGATCTATAATCTGGACTATAATCGGATCTATACTCTGGACTATATTCGAGTCTCGACTATAGTCGAGTCCATAGTCTGGACGCTAGTCGAGTCTATAGTCTGGACTATAGTCTAGTCTATAGTCTGGAATATATTCGATTCTGTAGTCTAGACTATAGTTGAGTCTATAGTCTGGACTATAGTCGAGTCTAAAGTCTGGACTGTAGTCTGGACCTTAGTCTGGTCTGTAGTCGAGTCTTTAGTCTGGACTATAGTCGAGTCCATAGTCTGGACGCTAGTCGAGTCTATAGTCTAGTCTATAGTCTGGAATATATTCGATTCTGTAGTCTAGACTATAGTCGAGTCCATAGTCTGGACTATATTCGAGTCTAAAGTCTAGACTGTAGTCTGGACCTTAGTCTGGTCTGTAGTCGAGTTTAAAGGCTGGACTATAGTCGATTCTATATTCTGGCCTGTAGTCGAGTCTATAAATTGAACTATGGTCGATTTTATAGTGTGGACTATAGTCGAGCCTATAGCCTGAACTACAGTCAAGTCAATCGTTTGGGCTATAGTCGACTCTGTAGGCTGGACTATAGTCAAGTCTATTGTCTGGACTATGGTATTGTATATAGCTTGGACTATAGTCGAATTTATAATTTATTGGATTTTTTATCGATTTTTTTTTTAATTCCAAACAAATTGTTAACAATCTGATTTGTGTTTATCATTTAAGTAAACAGTATTTAAACTTTTTTCTTAAAAATCACAAACTTATTTAAACATAAAAATAAAGTTGCTAAAAATACCAATTGTTAGTTTGTATCTTTACATTTAATTAAGATAAAAACTTAAAAATAACAAATTACTTTTGTATTGTGTCTCTCTTTTTCGATGATGTGACTAATTTTTTGTTCGCACACTTGGCAAAAAACGAAACTTTGGGGAGACTTCTTTCTGTGTTGTGCGAAAACGAGAAATCACATCATATAAAAAATTCAAACAAATGAGTCACATCGACACCACACACAGATGATATAGTCTGGTAGTGTTACTGCAGTTGTACCACACACTGAATAATTTAGTAAAAAGTTAAGACAATTTTTGTGCATTTGAACCACTAAGGAACTACCCTACGATTAAAGAAAAATTGGTGTTTTTGATTTGAAATAAAGAACAAAACTTTGTTGTTAACTAGCTTTAAAACCCCAGATATAGCTGACTGATGGGGAACTAGTGAATTAATTAGTTATTTGGTGGTGACCAAATTGATTTGATAAAAGCTATGAGTTAACAGTTTTGAACTGTCAATACCCAAAGTAGGGTGTCTACGACAAATTTGTCATAAACACTACCATGTTGGTACTTCAGTCTGTTTTATTTGAGTTTTATATATTTTTTTCTCCTTTTGCCATTTTAAGCATGATTCTATCTGTCGACAAACGACATTGTCTCAAGTTCCGAATAAAAATCTTGAAAATAACTTACTTATACTTGTACTCTTATGAGTTTATGCAACTTTAGTTTCAAGTTTATGGATAAAAATTACACAAAACAAAAAAGATATGAAGAAATTTTAATGAGCCGCAGTTGTAGTACAAGAGGTGGGTGTCATAACAGTGAGTCTTTGATTTAAACAAATTAAATGTTTGTCTCCACTATAATTGAAGAATCTGGTTGGTTTGGATTTATTTTTTACAAAACGAAAATTTAACGAATATTTTCTATAAAAAGAAAATTTAACGAAATTTTCTATAAAAAGAAAATTTAACGAAATTTTATATAAAATAAAATTTAACGAAAATTTTATATAAAAATAAAATTTAAGGAAAATTTTTCTATAAAAGAAAATTAAGGAAAATTTTCTATAAAAGAACGAAAATTAAGGAAAATTTCTATAAATAGAAAATTTAACGAAAATTTCTATAAAAAGAAAATTTAACAAAAAATTTTCTCTAAAAAGTAAATTTAACGAAAATTTTCTATAAAAGTTAAATTTAACGAAAATTTTTCTATAGAAAGAGATTTTATCGAAAATTTTTCTATAAAAGAAAATTGAACGAAAATTTTCTATAAAAGAAATTTAACGAAAATTTTCTATAAAAGAAATGAACGAAAATTTAATTTTCTATAAAAGAAAATTCTAACGGAAAATTTTCAAAAAGAAAATTTATCGAAAATTTTCTATAAAAAGAAAATTTATCGAAAATTTTCTATAAAAGAAAATTTATCGAAAATTTTATAAAAAGAAAATTTAACGAAAATTTTCTATAAAAAGAAAATTTCTATAAAAGAAAATTTACGAAAATTTCTATAAAAGAAAATTTACGAAAATTTCTATAAAAAGAAAATTACGAAAATTTCCTAAAAAAGAAAATTTATCGAAAATTTCCTATAAAAAGAAAATTTATCGAAAATTTCCTATAAAAAGAAAATTTATCGAAAATTTTCCTATAAAAAGAAAATTTATCGAAAATTTCCTATAAAAAGAAAATTTATCGAAAATTTCTATAAAAAGAAAATTTATCGAAAATTTCCTATAAAAAGAAAATTTATCGAAAATTTCTATAAAAAGAAAATTTATCGAAAATTTTCTATAAAAAGAAAAGAAAATTTATCGAAAATTTCTATAAAAAGAAAAAAATTTATCGAAAATTTCTATTAAAAAGAAAGAAATTTTATCGAAATTTTTTTTTTTTTATAAAAGAAAGAAAATAAGAGAAATTTATCCTAAATTTCCTTAAAAAGAACATTATCTAAAATTTCCTATTAAAAAGAAAATTTATCGACATAATTTCCTATAAAAAGAAAATTTATCGAAAATTTCCTATAAAGAAAATTTATCGAACATTTCCTATAAAAGGAAAATTTATCGAAAATTTCCTATAAAAAGAAACTTTATCGAGAAATTTCTAATAAAAAGAAAATTATCGAAAATTCCTATAAAAAGAAATTTCATCGAAATTTCCTCTAAAAGAAAATGTATCGAAAATTTCCTATAAAAAGAAAATTTATCGAACTTTCCTATAAAAGAACATTATCGAAATTCTTATAGAATGGAAAATTTATTGAAATTTTCTATAAAAGAAAATTTATTGAAAATTGTCTATAGGAAAGAAAATAGTATTCAAGAATTTATATAGAACGAAAAATTATTGAACAATTTTTTAAATTTGAAAAACCCCTACATTGGCTTTTAATTATTAAAACATAAACACCAAAATATCAATCGAAATATCAAAACAAACAAACAAACTTACCATTCTTTGTTCAAATCGTGGTGGTGTTGTTGGTTTTGCCGCCAGAGAGTCTCTCTGCCAGTCATCTCTGCGAAAGATCAGAGCAAAACAAAGAAAATAATGAGCAAAACAAAAACGAAAAACAAACATGTGCAAAGCTTTCACTTTAAGCACTCTCTACTAAAAAGATCACTCTCTTTCTCTCTATCTATCGGCTGATCATAAAGTTTTTGAAAAAAAGCATTAAATTTTTCAAAATTCAACTCACCTCTCCATACGTTGTATAATGGGCATTTGTGCAGTGCTGTCATGGATGCGTACTTGGTCTGGTGTAATTTCTTCAACGAACATATTACGTTGTTGAGGTGGTGGTGGTTGTTGTGGTTGTAGTTGTGGGGGGCATTGTCTGAAAGCTGTTATTATCATAGTAGAGGGGACTTATGGGACGACATGAACCACCTAAAAGCTCATCGATATTTTTATGACGTGATATGAATAATTGGCCATTGCGAGAGCGCAATTCATTATTGTTATTGTATTGATTATAAGGTGTAGGTGGTTGTTGTAAATAATTGGGGTTTTGCTGATGCTGTTGTTGTTGGTGCCGTTGATGAGGAAAATATTGCTGTTGTTGTGGTTGTTGCTGTAGGGGTGATTGATTAAGGTAAACAATATCTTGTTGATAAATGGGGCCACCACCACTGCCACTGGCCATGTAATTAGTCGAAGTTTCTAAAATTGGCTGTTGTGATGCGACTGTTTGAACTTTTGTCATTGGAATGTTATCATAGGGTGATGTACATTGTTGTCTTTGCTGTGCTGGCGGAGGTGGTAATAATTCTTCCTGTTGCACGGGACTGGCACATTGTCCCAAGGGTGGTGGTCTTTCGGAATATTCAAAATTAAAGGAATTACTTAGTTCGGCCTGGGAATCTATGAGATTATTGTGATTGTAGGTTGAAGGTTGATACTGCTGCAGTTCAGCTTCTTCCTCGGTGTTGTGATAATATTGCTGCTGCTGCTGTTGTTGTTGTATTGGGGGCGTTGGTTCAAAGTAACCATTTTGTTGGTAGTTATGTTGCGGAGTTGTGGGAGTTTTTTGCTGTTGATTGCTTTCCTCCAACCACCATTCCTGTTCTTGTGAGTTATTACGTTTATAGGTTTTATTTTCACTAACTTTTATCCGATTTCGATTCACTAGTTTCTTCCTGCCACCAGGCTTTTTCCCCTGATTCTACTCTGGGTATATTAAATACTTTCTTAATCGGTCCAGACATCCATCTATTTTTGGCATCACTATTACTAGAGGAACTATCAGTTTTATCTTTGTTCTTCTTGGGTAAAGCTATAGTAGCTTCTACGGTTATTTCAGTTTCTTGAGGTTGAGTCTCGGTCTGCTGTTCTTCTTGCAGCCACCAGGGCTTTTCTCCGGACTCTACACGACAGATTTTCAATTGTATAGAACCATTTTGTTTGGGTAGTTTATCACTTAACTGAGAGAGATTATTACTGGATTTATTGCTCGTTTTGTCACTATTTAACGAGGGATTATTGTTGGCGGTAAACTCAGCTTGTGCTTCCTCATTGTCATCATTCCACCAATCCGTTTCGGGTGTTATGCGACTTTTGGGAAATGGTTTGGCTTCTACAGGGGCTTCTTCGACACAATAACCATTGGAGGGATAATCTAAATCATTACTAGATCTACTTTTCACATAAATCGTTTCGTGTTTCTCTTCTTCTTCGTTGGGCGTTTCTTCGTTAGTTTCGTTAGTTATCCACCAGCCTCCTGGTTTGTCGTTTAGCTTTGCAGCATTGCCACTGGGGGTAGAGGTCAATGATTGTTGCTGATCTGTGGCCTCCTCATCATCCTCATCCTCCTCCAGTTCTTCCTCTTGATTTAAAGTCTTTAAATCATCATCCGCCAAGGTATCATCCTCATCATTGCGCAACCACCAGGCGGTTTCACCTGAATCTATGTGTCTTATCTTAAAACGCATTTCATCTTTTAAATTAAAATCCAAAGCCGAGGCAGTATCTATTTGCCTGCTAGTATCCTGCCACCAGCTAGATTCCTCTTGATCCGTACCCGAGGTAGAGGAGGTGGTGGGATTGGTGGTGGTATAGGGAGACAAAGATTCCGTTTGCAATTCACTAGGCATAATGGAAGATTCGTTTACCGTAGTGGTATCCTGAGGACAATATGAAGTTGAAGTTGTAGAAGATTTTGTATTCGTTTTCGATTTGGTTTTCGTTTTAGTTTTCGTCGAGGACGTTTGACGAGGTTGATTTTGTCGTTTTTATACTGTTTTTAGGTTCTTCTATAGAATTTATCGTATAATTCGGATTACTCTTACTGCTGCTGCCGCTAGTTTTCGTTTTGACGGCTGGCGAAGGCGTTGTTTTCGTTTCGTTAGCTTGCGTTAAACTGATGCTCTTCTTCGATAACGATCTATCTAGATCATTACCTGATGATGAGTTCTCAGAGCTTTCAAGGTAAATCTGTTCGTCGCTATTGCATTGTCTTGCTGTTGTGCGGCGAAAAAGTTCGATACTGATGACAATTTCTTTAAACGCCTAAGGGGATCTTTATCGGAGGGGGTTTTGGGGGTGGTACGACTTGTGGTGGTGGCGGATGAATCAGACTTTTTGGCTTTTTGGTTGTTGACGGAGACAGCTGGTGGTTGTTGTGAAAAGCTATTTTCACTAGATGATTTTATACTACGACTATCAGCACTGCTGTTGGTGGTCGGTGAGGTGGTGGTGCTCGTGCTACTGCTTGTATTGGTGACGTCTTTAATTGTTTTTTTCTTAATGATTTTCTTAGTAGACTTTTTGCTTTCCGTACAGCTTTCAGTGCCACTTGATGAAGAGGTGGTGGTTGTTGTGCCTGCTGATGATTGTGTTGTTGCAGTGGAGGATGTGGAAGATTTCGGTTTAATGTTGGAAGTGCTATTGTTGCGACTTAAGGGTGATTTGGGTGACATTACCGCACCATTGACAAAGGATTTATTATGACATCTGGGTCTAAGTTTACTATCGGTTCCGGTACGTCTTATGGATCTATTAGAGGCATTGCTTACTTCCGAACCCGCACTGGGTGATCTTTCTAAACGTTGTATGGCTTGCAGGGCACCATTTAAAGCTTCTACGGTATTTAAATCTGAATCTGTGCCTGTACTGGGGGTTCTCGATTTACGCGGTCGATCGGTGGGTCCTACATTGAGAGCCGATTTACGAAAATCTTTATTAGGCAGCTTCGTGGAAACACTATTTGACGAAGAAGTCGATTTGGTGGGTGATTCTCCTTTGGGAGCTGCCGGTGGTTTATGGGCACTTAGATTTTCCACCGACGATTGTCTTGAAGTTATTTTTATGGATTTAGGAGGAGAAAGTTTTGATTTGCTGTTTAAAGGAGATTTATTAGCTTTGCTACTTGAGGAAGTCGAAGAAGCAGAAACATCATCTTTTTTACTTTCCGAGCTCGAGTTCAATGACGAGGATTTAGAAGCTGTTGTGGAGAGTGGACTATGACTGTAGCGCAAACTGGAGGAAGTATAACGTTCCGTATGAGGACTGTAGGGGGAAGAGACACGACTACTTAAACCAAATCTGGAGTAGCGTGTCGAGTCATCTAAACGATCTGATTGTATTTCCTTTTCCAGCATTTTCTTTTTTCGCGTAGATCGCTGTATAGTTTTCTCTATAGTTTTGGCAATTTCTATGCGTCTGGTGCGATGAACTGTAGGGGCTGCTCCGGGGGGAAGTGGGTGATGTGGCTCTAGTACATACGGCAACAGAAACAAATTTTTCTTCTTCCTCGTCGTCCTCCTCCTCTTCTTCATCTTCCTCATCTGTTTCCGAAGAGCCAGTGGATTCTTCGTTAGAAGTGGATTCTGGTTTATTTTCTTCTTTCTCCTCAGTTTTTTGCGCTTCCAATTCCTTTTCATTGGATTTACGTGTGGCAGCCTCTCGAGCTTTACTTATGGATCTAGCCTTAAAATCACTAGCCGATAAATAGGATATAGAAGTTGAAGAGTTATTAGCTGTTGGTGTCCTTCCAACCGTAGATGAGCTACCATAACGTGTTCCATATGTGTTGCCCGTTGTGGACTTTGGCACATTCATTCTGTAGGAACTTGCGGATGAACCATAACCAATTTACATTTTGTATCTAAAGCAGGACTAGGATCTCTAGATTTCCCTCTAAGACTTCTAGTAGCTGGACTAGGATCTCTACTTTTTATTCTGTTTGTATGTTCTAAGGCTGCCGGACTAGGTTCTCTGGAATATTTACCCAAACTACTGGCGGTAGAACCATAACGTTTCAGCTGGCCCGGCTTGGAACCCGAGGAATCACTAGTACTGCTGGTATCTGGTTTTGTTGCAGCAGAACTTCCTGCTGCTGAGTAACGACTGACATAGGTGGAGGCGGGTACTATGGGCGTGTCACGTTTTAAACGATATGTTCCCCCCGAAAAGGAGGGTCTGTAGGAGCTGGGTGAAGCCAAAGAACTATAACGGGAGGTGGCACTGACATCATCTCTTGAGGAGTACTAAAAGGGAGAAGTAACATTAAAAATACTAATTGAACCAAAGAATTTTCTATCAAACAACTTACCGCACTGGAAGTCCCCGTTTTGTAATTGGGAGATAAGGACGATTTCCAAGGTGTCTAAAATTAGAGTAAGAAAAGTAATATAAGTAGTTATTTTTCAAAATCTAAATAAAATTTCTAGAAAATACTTAAACTTCTAAAACTTTATTTAGTCATTGCCCCATAAAACTCTAATGTTTTCCATACAATTTCCATTTTAAATGGAAAACCAAAATAGTATTTCATTTCACATTCACACAATTTCAAGTGTACAAGGTCCATTGGCAAATAAAGGGGCAATTTAAACATTAACATGCAATAGGAAAGTGTGTGCATTTCAATTTTAATTGTTGCCACATATTGTAAGCATCAATTTGATTTTATAAAATCTATTATTGCCATGATAAGTCGTCGTCATCGTCAATATTTAGTTGCATTCATGCCACTCAAACGTTGCAATTTAGCATCAACATTTCATCAGTTTTAAAATGGGGTGTGTTTGTTTATGTATCTGCATACGTGTCTATATAGTCGAATCTAGTGTTATTTGTCCATCAGATATCATTTAATAAGATTGATTTGTTCTTTAGTTGGCACTTAAAAATAAGATATATAGTGAAAATGTAAAGGAAGTATAACTAAGGGACTTTTGTTAATGAAAATTTAGTCAGATTTGGAAGGAGAGGGTTTCAGTTTATTGCTTATAGACTACTGAGAGTTTTAAAGCTCAATAATATGGACTATAGTCTGCTCTATAGTCCACACAATTGTATGCTACATAGTCTACTCTATGGAGGAGAATATAGACTACTTTATAGTCCAGCCGATATACTGCTCTATAGTCAAGACCAGACCACAGACTAGACTAGATTTGACTAGACTTTAGACTAGACTTTAGACTAGACTATAGACTAGACTATAGGCTAGACTATAGACTAGACTATAGACTAGACTATAGACTAGACTATAGACTAGACTAAAGACTAAGACTAGACTATAGACTAGATTATAGACTAGACTATAGACTAGACTATAGACTAGACTATAGACTAGACTATAGACTAGACTATAGACTAGACTATAGACTAGACTATAGACTGACTATAGACTAGACTATAGACTAGACTATAGACTAGACTATAGACTAGACTATAGACTAGACTATAGACTAGACTATAGACTAGACTATAGAATAGACTATAGACTAGACTATAGACTAGACTATAGACTAGACTATAGACTAGACTATAGACTAGACTATAGACTAGACTATAGACTAGACTATAGACTAGACTATAGACTAGACTATAGACTAGACTATAGACTAGACTATAGACTAGACTATAGACTAGACTATAGACTAGACTATAGACTAGACTATAGACTAGGCTATAGACTAGACTTAGACTAGACTTAGACTAGACTATAGACTAGACTATAGACTAGACTATAGACTAGACTATAGACTAGACTATAGACTAGACTATAGACTAGACTATAGACTAGACTATAGACTAGACTATAGACTAGACTATAGACTAGACTATAGACTAGACTATAGACTAGACTATAGACTAGACTATAGACTAGACTATAGACTAGACTATAGACTAGACTATAGACTAGACTATAGACTAGACTATAGACTAGACTATAGACTAGACTATAGACTAGACTATAGACTAGACTATAGACTAGACTATAGACTAGACTATAGACTAGACTATAGACTAGACTATAGACTAGACTATAGACTAGACTATAGACTAGACTATAGACTAGACTATAGACTAGACTATAGACTAGACTATAGACTAGACTATAGACTAGACTATAGACTAGACTATAGACTAGACTATAGACTAGACTATAGACTAGACTATAGACTAGACTATAGACTAGACTATAGACTAGACTATAGACTAGACTATAGACTAGACTAGATAGACTAGACTATAGACTAGACTTAGACTAGACTATAGACTAGACTATAGACTAGACTATAGACTAGACTATAGACTAGACTAGACTATAGACTAGACTATAGACTAGACTATAGACTAGACTATAGACTAGACTATAGACTAGACTATAGACTAGACTATAGACTAGACTATAGACTAGACTATAGACTAGACTATAGACTAGACTATAGACTAGACTATAGACTAGACTATAGACTAGACTATAGACTAGACTATAGACTAGACTATAGACTAGACTATAGACTAGACTATAGACTAGACTATAGACTAGACATAGACTAGAATAGACTAGACTATAGACTAGACTATAGACTAGACTATGGACTAGACTATAGACTAGACTATAGACTAGACTATAGACTAGACTATAGACTAGACTATAGACTAGACTATAGACTAGACTATAGACTAGACTATAGACTAGACTATAGAGTAGACTATAGACTAGACTATAGATAGACTATAGACTAGACTATGGAATAGAATATGACTAGACTATAGACTAGACTATATATATATATATATAGACTATAGACTTGACTATAGACTAGACTATAGTATAGACTATAGACTGACTATAGACTAGACTATATAGTATAGACTATAGACTGACTATAGACTAGACTATAGACTCAACTATAGTCTTGACTATACACTAGACTATAGTCTGCTACATAGTCCAGACTTTAGTCTGCTTTTTAGTCTGGACGATAAGTCTGCTCCATAGTCCAGAGATGTCTGCTCTATAGACTAGACTATAGACTGATAGACTAGACTAGATTATAGACTAGACTAGATATAGACTAGACTAGATTATAGACTAGACTATAGACTAGACTATAGATATATAGTCCAAACTTAGTCTACTCTTTGTCCAGACTATATTCTTCCCTACAGTCTACTCTTTGTCCAGACTATATTCTTCCCTACAGTCTACTCTATAGTCCAGACTATAGTCTGCTCTATAGTATATACTACAGTCTAGGCTTTATAGTGGAGAATATAGTCTGCTCTTGGTCGAGACTAGGAATCAGAAAATATCTTGTCTTTAATCGAGACTATTGTTCTTGTCTTTTAAATCTAAATGTTTAAACTCTTCTACGTGGCATACCTTCCCCGCTGCAGCAACAACATTGCACTAAACAATTGCCCAAATCATCACAACAACATATAAAATTAAAAAAAAAACATTAGAAACATTCCGTACGACCAAAGAATATTGAAATGAAACTAAATAAACGTTTTCACTCACTTTTTGTATTGTTCGATTTTCAGATTTTTTTTAATATATAAATACAACTTTTCACTTTATTTACAATTTCAATTAAATGGCGCTGCTGATCGCACACGATCACAACT